ACTCCAGAAACTAGCACTCGATCTGCGAGCGCGGCATTCTCCGTAAGCTCAGGGAGTGTCGGTGTATCTCCTGCATCTGCCTTTCCTGCATCTGCCTTATTCTATCTTTCTGCCACATCAAATTTTGTGGCATAGGGTATCTTTGTGTTCCCTGCAAGCACCTGAAGGGGATTCTCACGTGGCAGGCTGTTGCTCTGCAGCGAGGCTGAGGCATAGGCGGCAAAAGCATCCAGCGCTTTCTCTCAGCACAGTAACGATAGGCCTCTTTCCTGTACTGCTTGTCAATGTCATCGCTGTTTTTCCACCCCCCAATGATAAAAACATCATCTTTATAATAACAAATAGCTGCTCCTTCAATGCTAAGGACCTCTGGGGGTAAGCTCTCAAGTATTTCATCTGAGGCCCTGCCAGAGATCTTAATCTTGGCTTCCTCATTATCTATAGGGTAACTCTTGGGGCAGCACGATGCCGTATGGTAGAAGTTTGTGTTAGCCACAGACATCTGAAAAGAGCAATAGTTATCAATGAGCGGCAGAGACTCCACATCCTGCCACTGCCTTGTTTCAACATCGAATCTGATAATAACCGCCCTCAATCCATCTTCGCTATCACTGTCAACTGGGGTACGAGCAGCAACGTAAACGAACCGGTCTTCTACAGAAACGGCTTTGACATCACGAAGAATCTTTGGTGCTGACTCCAGGTTAAGCCATTTGTCTTGCTCGGGATTATAAATGGCCACGTCTTTAAAGCCAGGACTGAAATTGCCATGTCCACCAATACTGTACAAGTTTCCTTTAACTTCAGTAAGGCCAAAAGAATGCTTTCTGGTTATTAGGTTTGAGACTTGCTCCCAGATATTTCTGTTTGGATTGTACCTTTCTACAGTCTTGGCAAAGCCTGGTTCCATGGAGCCAGCCACATAAACATAAGACTCTGTCACAGCAACAGCATGCCCATCGAGATGGTTATGGATGTGCGGTAAGTTTACCCACCTATCCTCATCGATGAAATACCCTACGCACTCACTCAAGTAATCTCCTCCCTCCGACACACCACCAATCACCATAATGACGTCCATGTTTTGTCCAAAACGCGGCAGCAATGCCACGGGACACGCGGAATGTTGTAGATTACCAGACTGCAGGTTCTCGGACCGCAAGGCGTGACTCTCCACAGCTTCTGACACTAATTTAACGCAGGCTTCGTTGCTTGATACCAGCCTTTCAGATTTGACGTGGCGAGTAAGATACGTGGGTTTCATCTGGGACAATCTAAGCAGCTTAAAGAGATCTTCAAAGTACCTCTCTCTTTCCTCGGGATTTTTCTGAACCCACCTCAAAACAGTCTCAAAGAGGATTTCTTCAGAATCCACTGTGATCTCCGAGTCTGAGAGCCAGTCTCTGATGAGATGAAAGGGCAACGTGTAGAACTCCTCATCTTGGATAACTTTGTGGAAGTTTCTCCTGATCATGTCCTGAGCTTTGAGGGCCAGCTGATTCAAGGAATACATGTGGGCTAAGCTGTGAACCGCCACGCAGTTGGAGAGGTTGAGTTTCTTCTTCAGAAACTCTCCACAGAACTCTTTTAACCGGGTCAGTAGAAACCTGCAGGACAAACGAACAGGGGTGACGCTGCGGCCCGGCGCCTGCCGGCCC